TAAGTTAGGAGGTTCCTATTTTAGCAATTTTCCTCTCATAGATGCCATCACTTTAAAAACAGATATGAATTTCTATTTCCAATGTTAACGAAAGTCTTCAAGTATTTGTTACAATTTCAAGACCTAGCTGTTATTAGATAGTATGACAGAAGTGAAAGTACTTATGACCCTGCCCCCTACCATGCCAAACGAGTTCACGGGACCTGAGTGTGTCCCACGGCCCCTGGTCTTCAGACTTCTCCTCTAGCAGATCCCTGCCTGATTCTCCTCTCTCAGTAAGGGCACTCCAGCGCTGAGCACAGATTGTTGCCCAGCTCCTTGGAGGGGGTCCAGTGCATTTGTCAGGAACTGAAAAGTTTTGGAGCCAGTTTGAGGACTTTCTGGTACACAGAGTGTTGGCTGGAAATGTAGTGCGTATTAAATAGGATGTTAATTTTCATGACTATTTTCCCCATGGTTGTAGCTTGTGGTCACTGAGCAATTTAGCAATCACCATGTGGTCTGTTGGACACACAGCCTGGGTGAAGTTCAAAAATTAACAACCAGTCAATGGGGAGTAGGCCAGAACTCAAATTCATGTGTTTTCGATTCTTTCTTTCTTTCTTTTTTAATCTATCCACCTAAGGGATGGTTTCTTCTTTATTACAACTTTAGTTTTCACCATATGCCTAAAATCTGTAGGTACCTCCTATGGTCTCTCGTATTTTTAGCTATTTAATTTTAGCTCGTGACTGTTAGACTTGTATTCTTACTGTGAAATCTATAATTGAATGATTCTTTGCCAATTCACTCTTTGCCTCATCAGGTAAGATGCACTGTATCATTAATTCTAAGAACACATACATTTGGGTTCAAGGTATACTTAGTTCCATAGTTTTTGTCAAACCAAGGGAGAATTTGTTTGAATTTAAGAAGTCACAGCCTGGTTAGAGAAGATATTTTTATATAAAGGCATCAGAAAATAAGGGTCCTTTCCTTGATGTGAATTTCAACTTAGGCTTGTACCCTTCTTTTTGTACATGAAATGATCTCAACGAGCTCTCAGGATACCTTGTAAAGTGTCTAAACTGGGAACTCTGTGCAGTTCCTTCTTTACAAAGTCCAACTGGCCCTAGTGGTGACAGTGGATTGTCTGAAGGCCACACAGTACGGACTGGAAGAACAATCTCTTGCCCCTGCCACACTATCCCCCCTTCGGTCAGCCTTCCCTCCTTCAATAATGAAGCTCTGTCCTGAGGAATTTGTTACTAATATCAAAAACAGAAGTCTGTCCATGATTTATCTTTCTAGATGGTTGCTAATCTATAACAAGTCAGGTTCCCTTGCTCATTCATTTATATTCCGATTCATTTATAATTTCTTCCTTGGTTAGAGGAGAAGGGATGGAAACAGCCCGTGTGTTCTAGAAGTTGCATGTGACACATGAACCTTTGTATTTCTCACGGGTGCGACCAGAACAGTAGGTGTAGCGTGCAAATGGCGTCTGACATCTTCCTGATGAGAGTTTGCCCATGCTGACTTCTGTGGTAAGAGGGGCTGTTTAACGGGGTCACTTCAGCGGTCCTTGCAATTTAATCACCACTCATACAAGAACAAAGAAATCAAACTTTTATGTTTCTCCATCTCTAGTTCAAAGAATTGAAGCTCTGGCATCTAATATTGCCTTCTAAGAATTAAACAGTAATTGAGCCTGAAATAAACCTCTAAAAGTGTATTATGAAACTGCATTGTTTATCTGATTTGGAGATAATTACAATGTAATTAATGCTACACAATTAACTATGTACATGATAATATATAGTATATTCATACTTTGTATATTCTCAATATTTTTATTCAATATTGTCAAAATAAATTGACCTACGTATATGAAATAGGCTTCCTTATTTTAAAAGTTATCTTATAAAAATTCACTATTTTGATAGAACTTTTCATGAACTATTTTATAGACTTTTACTTCCAGAAATAAAGACCAATATTAAACTCATGTGGCCCTTTCTGAAAGATTTATATTAATATAATTAGAGTTTGTTCTTTTCTCCCAACATTTTTAGTTAGGTGGACTTAGAAATTTTTTGCGACACTTTGTCTATTATACTTTATGTCTCTTATCTTATTAGAAAACCAATATAGTGTTTAGAACTTTAACTTGACTGTCTCCCTTTCTCCTCTCTCTCCCTTTGGCTCTCCTTTCTTTCTTTCTTTCTTTCTTTCTTTCTTTCTTTCTTTCTTCTTTCTTCCCTCTCTCCTCCCTTCTTCCCTCCCCCTCTCCCTCGTTTTCAGCCTCCCTCCCTCCTTTCCTGTTTTCAAGTACTGGGGATGGAACCCAGGGCCTTCATACAGAACTATATCCTTGGGCCTTTTTGCATTTTTATTTTGTTTTATTTTGAGACAGGGCTTCACTAAGTCACAAAATTGCCCAGGCTGAGCTCAAAATTACTGCCTTTTAACCGCAGCCTTCAAGAGTGCTGGGATTACAGGCATGTACTATATTTATTTGCTTCCTCTTATCTAACTTTAGTTACTACGCATGATAAAAAGTACATATTTTATCTAAAGTGCAAATTAATAAGCATTGTACAAATTATAGGGGAGAGGTTATTGTACGGAATAGTATTCCTGATTTGCTAAGCCCTGAGCCTAATTTTTCTACTTTCTCTTTGGTTTCTAGGGTAGGGTATAAAGGATAGAGATTGCCTGATAAGTGAAGTATTATTCTCCATTAATAAAAAATTAATGAGGACCGTGAATGCTTTAAATCTTGGAAGGATTAGCAGTATTTAGTTTGGGGTGACCAAAGGATAACCTTGGAGTACTTCTGATTGTGCTAATGAGAGGAGGGTTTTTATTTTTGTTTGTCCAGGAGGAACCTGCAAAAGGACATTGCCTCTTTAACGGAGGCTCTGGCATACATTCCTGGGAGCTTCACAGCTTTCCTTCGTAAAGCAGCATGAAAGAGTTGATTTTCATTTTATGTTGTGCTTGTGAGGCATTAGCATGATGTTCTAACACTTGTAAATGAATATAGCTCTTGCCTAATCTGTCATTTTAATGCCTTATAGATTTTATTTCACTCGATGTTGTACCAGATTCTCAATAATAATAATCAACTGCTTTGTTGTTCTCTTGCAGAAATTAAATTTCTGTAGTGAGTGTGCAACTAATAAAAGATGTTGCTTGAGGAAACAAAAAATAAATATGATGAATCATAAAATTTGGGGGAGGGAGAGGGGAACTTGCTCCTAGATGAAAGACAATTACCGAACCAGTAGTGAATGTCTGATTCTCATCTTGTCAACAGCTTAATAACATTCATGAAGTCTTTAGCCACAGTACTTATGTCTGAGTATTAACCCTGTGGACTTGGTGTTTTCCACAATTTCATTTAGAAGCATTAAAATAAAAGGTGAGGTAGTAAAATAGCGATTCTCTTTACTTTATACCCTGGGTAAGTTTGCTTAGTGTTGTCATTTTGCGCGTGCGTGCGCACACACACACACACACACACACACACACACACACACACACCTTCTATCTTTTCCCCTGTCACAAGCCATCCAGAAGAGGAGAATTAAAGGCAGTGGTGTGGGACTCCGAGTATTGGCAAAGACTGTAAAGTGGAAAATAAGTGGTCATCTCTCACCGCGTTACCAGAACCCAGCACTCAGAGCAGTGGCAAGCACCTAATTGGCCACTGGCTTCGGAGAAAATATGTTTTTCTAGACCTCTGTCATTTAGCATGTTCTTTAAACTCTGTGAAAAACAAAACAAAACAAACAAACAAACACAAAAACACCACCAGGTTGAAGTGCTGACTCTAACCTCCAAAAGAAAGAAAATGGAAAGTTAAGGCTTGAAGGCTAGGCAGATACTTGGAGATGAATAATTGGAGGCAACTGGACAATGCTGGACAATGCTGGACGATGGTTTGGTTTCCTGACATATGAATTCATCCCATTGCGTACAGGTAGTGGGTGGATTCAACAGTGATGAGCCGCAGAAAGGTAAAAGGAAACGTTCATCTAGTAAGAGGAGAAGGGAGACTACAGCAGTAATGTTAACCAAGAAAAGAAAGTCAATGTGAGGTAACAGACATTTACAGGGCTGTTACTACAACGGTGTCATACTGAATTTAAAAAATAGGAGAAGTAAGTACCTTAAGACATAGTCAAATTTACTTCAGCATGTAGATAGATTTCTATCTTAAATTTGAGCACATCATATGGGGAAAAGAAAGAATAAAAACACAAGTAAACATTTTATTATTTAAGTGTGTATCTACATGCAGTGTTTCTGTTCATATAACTTAGCTGAATAATAACTTAGTGTGCACTGAGATTTTGATCTGGTAAAACATTATATGCACTGATTGCATTAATCCTCTTAAAACCAAAGAATTGTGGGATAGTTTAAAATTCTGTAGATTAGAAGCTCTATAAATTTACCTCTTGCTGTGATATTGGTAAACCTTGCATCTCTGGTAATTGTTGATATAAGGATCCAAAAACCCTTTGGAACCGTATCCCTTGTTGAGTGTGGATGGTATATATTTTAGAGAGGATAGGCCTGGTTTCTCTCAGATTCTCAAAGAGGTGCAATTCCAGATGGAAGTTAAAAGTCATATAATCATGCAAATTAGGGAAAATGAAAAGAAAAAAATATAATAATGATTCTAAGGCGATCTAGGACCTCGTGTGCATAGAAGAGCTAAATAGGGGAAGGATTGATTAAAAACAACCCTTGAAAGTGCATTGTCTTCATCACATGCTTTTAGTCAGAATAAAAAAACAATTATCTTAGAACCTCAGATGATGTCTCTTTGCATCCATGTGGTTTCCTTTGCATTTTTAAAACAAATATGTAACCTGAAAGATGCCCTGAGTTCATATGTTTTATTATTACTCTAATAATATTGAGTCTGTCTCTGTCTGTCTCTGTCTTTGTGTCTCTCTGTATCTCTCTGTCTCTCCGTCTTTCTCTGCCCTCTTTCCTTTCTGAAGAAAAAACACATGATTTTCTAAGGAACTGCATTGAATGATGCTTGTGGTAACACTGGACGATGCCTCTGACTGCAGGGAACAGGAGTGACTGACCCTAGGGTCTCAGCTGCTGCCTTGGCAATCCATCCAGGTGAGTGTCTGTGCCTCCTCCCACAGCTGTTCCCACCTAGGAGTAGGCCTGGCATTGTTCCTGAGGCAGATCTATTTTTGGAGAGGCAGGATCATCTGACGGGTGGAGTTATCTCTAGGACTGCAGGATGACCTTGCCATACTTTTCCTTGGGAATGCACAGTGATTTAAAATTCTTCCCCTCTTCCTTCACTCTGGATCAGAGTTCCATCATGGTCTAAAGACTCTCCCAACCTCCCTTCCTTCCTTCCTTCCTTCCTTCCTTCCTTCCTTCCTTCCTTCCTTCCTATTTTTCTTTTATAGGGAGGGACCATAATAAATATTGTGCACATTGAGTCCTTTCTGGGCATCCATTTTTGTGCATTAAAATTAATATTGTAGTAATATAATACAGTTCATTTTTTCACATTTATTATATGCCTAGTAATGTGCTACTGTGTCACATTATTTTATTCTCTCAAAGTGTGAGAGAGAAGAATTATGTTTACAAGAGGAAAAGCAGTCTATTGGAGTGTGTAGTAGACTGTAGAGTTACTACTCAGAGGTTGTTCCACTCTACTCCAGAGCTCACGGTATCTACTATTAAGCTAGAGCCCCTTGAAAGCAAATGGAATGGCTACTTTTCTAAAAATCATATTAACAATAATCAGGGAGTTTCATTGTTTTCCCTCGAATGTGACCAGGTTGAAAAATAAACGGACTGATATAAGCAAATATCCTGTTTGGTTTTGTGTTGGGAGACTGTGACCTGGAATTCTTGCATTTACCCTGGGAGGACTTTGGATGATGTGCAGGACCTTTGGGTTGCTCTCAGGACCCTGCAACCTAACAGTGCCTGAGTTCCTGTGGTGTGAACAGCAACTTGTTTTCCCCAGTAAACCTCAGTCTCTGGGAATGAGAGAACCAGCTTGTTTCTGGCTTGTGTAGCCCTCCCCCCACCTGTGACTTTAGTACTGTTAGTGAAGCCAGGGGGGTTAAGAAAATGAGAAAACTAAATGTTCCTCTTTCAAGGTTTCTGTTTGACAGTGTTTGCTAGACAAAGTAGAATTTTCACTGCACAAGTCCTTAACTCGAGAGCTCCACTCAGTCAGCAGTTATGTTATGTGCTTTTTATCCAGCCTTTCTCATTTAGAAAAAGGAAAAAAGAGAAATTTATCCACTCAAAGTGAGCTTTTTGCTAAACTTGTGTCTTTCCCTTGTTTGTCATGTGAATTGCATCCCAAACAACCCCTTTTCAGAGAATTCTGCAATCCAACTGTAAAGCCCTATCAGATGTACAATGGCTTTTAAAGTGCACTGGATTTATGTAATAAAATGAATTTAGTATCATATTTATCTCTAAAGGAATGCATATTTTTCTCCTTTGTGTGCCTTAGTGAGATATTTAACATCTGGCCCCATAGTTCCTTATGTTATATGGTACAGTTAATAATATATCCCTTTTTAGAATTTTTATGCAGAGTATGCTCTGTGTTAGGAATTTCATCTTTATTAATGCTTGTTAAAGAAATAGATCTGCCCAGTTAAGTTTTGGTGATGAAATTTGACAATTTTTATCATAGTTATATTCAGTAAACTATACCAAGGAAAAATTTAGTTGAAGACTCCTTCACTGGAGAAAACTTGTGGATTCAGAATCCTTCACAAAGCAATTTTCAAAATGGTAGAATCTATGGGTTCTCAATTGAATGAACATAATAGATGCTCAGTGAATATCACAAAAGTGTAATGGAAGTTAGGGACAGGGAATTTGCTATATATTAGAGCTAGCCCTCCAAAGTAAAAATATTAAATCCTCATAATTGAAGAGTACTTCTTCAACTTATTTTCTGTTAATAGAGAAATAATTATCCAGATGTTATTGAAGTTCCCTGTAGTATCGAGTGTAAGATTCCACATTACAAAAACATTTTGAGAGTTACATCAGTAAAGTCACTAACATTATTCTATGGCAGAAGTGGGGTGGCAATGACTATATTCTTACTGTGAAAAAATTTCCTGCTTATCTAAAGTGTAGTCTACTGGTTTTTAAATTCCAACATTTGAAACAGTATCAATGGACATATAAAATTTGCCCAGAGAACTCAAAAGTTAAGTGCTCAGATGGTGGCCCAACTTTTTTCAAGATATATGTACGCTGTGATATGTAGGACAAGTGTATCCTTTGTTATGTCAACCGTGATAGCTGCCTTGAACATGGACTCCTATTCATTTTAAATAAAAAAATAAAACTTATCTTAGAGGGAGAAAGGTTGACATGGGTCCTGAATTGTTTTTTTTTTAATTTTTTAAAAATTTTATTTAAAAGGAAAAAGAGAAAAAACAAAACAAAACAAAAAGCAGTGTGAAGGTACAATTAATACAGAACTACAAAAAAAAAAAAAAAAGTAAGAAATCACCAGTTAATAGATTACAATTATCATCCTAGAGACAGTTGCTCAAGTCACAGTATCAAAGCATACAAAGTGGACATTCAAACAGTGAGACTGCAAACAGTTGTGTTCAATGATCCAACCAAAAACATTAATATGGGCATCTATTTAACATCCCTAAATACACTTGCAGTTGTATACTTTAGAGCACTTTTTTTTCCTCTCTTTTTTACAACAAAATTTGTTGAATGATGGTTGGTTTCCTCTTGACCCTTGTTCTGAGCAGTAGAAATACAAAGGAAAAGACATTGTTTGTCTGAAGAAGACTACTAGTGAAAAATATGTACATTTCAGTAAGAATTAAATTTGTATGGCTTAGGGCAGCAGTTTCCAAAGTGAGGTTTTGAGGGAGTAGAAAGTTTATATTTGGTAATGTTAGAATATTAGATAATATTAGAACACATACTTAAAATGAGAAGTGATGTTTAATGTTGAATATGTGGATTACACATAAATCATTTTTTATAAATATATGGTAAAATATTTTAGTGATAGGGAGATAAAGTCTTGAAAACAACTATTGTATCATGTAGTGCTTTTACTCATTGAATACTAGCAAATAAACTGTTGAATGAAACACATATTCATATTAATAAATCTTATTTTCCCAGATTCACTAAACCCTATTCATTTATCTTGTGCTATTTCCATGACTTGTTAGTGACCATCTTGCCTCAATGACCCATATAACTATAATTCTTCTCTTGCCCCGCCCCTCACGTTCCAACTGAGAGTTCCTAGTCTAGCTACTGAGTTGAATAAAACTGAATTATCTCTCTTGATTGTATTTCTAATACTATTTTCATGAGCAAATATTATGGAAACTTTACAAAAGAATCATCTCGGCTCCCAAGTGTACACGTTGTAAACCCAGTGTTATCTACTCATCTCCAATCAGCTCATATCAACGAGTACATCAAGACAACCTGTATGCGTCACTCAAAGCTAGGAAATGGAGTCATGGCTTAATTTTGAATCCTTTCCTTCAAAGCTCTCTCCCTATCAAATGAGAAAGTTGGGGTCCATTTTGAGGTGATATAGCAAGGTTTCTCAGTTTCACTATTGCAGACATTTGGGGCCAGTGATTCTTTGCTGTTGTGGGGCACTGTAGGATACTTAGCATCATCTGTGCCCTGTATTCACTAAAAGTCAGTAGCAACCCGTTCCCTGCCAACCATAAAAGTCTCCAGACTTTGCTTAATGTTCCTTAGGGAATAAAATTATCCCTAGTTGAAAACCACTAGGTTAGAATACTGAACGTGTTTTTAAAAATATAATACTGAACATGTTTTTAAAAGTATAGAACAGTTCAACAAACAGTGAATTAACCTTGTAATTGAGTTCAAAAGTAATGTGAATATCAGAAATGTCAAAAATCCAGAGTGATTTACTTGAAAGGTTGGTTTCCATTCTTCAATTCCAATCCACTATGTTAATCACATTAGTTTAAAATTGTGACTAATAATTGAAAGCTTACTTTCCCTTGATCTTGTCTGCCCTTGAGGGGGTTTTTGAGGAGTCAGGTAGGAAATGGTAGAAAGGGTAAGCTAGAGAATCTAGGGATGAAATAGCAAATTGGTGAGGCATGATTAAGAATGTATTTTCTGGGTAATCAAATAAATTGGGGCTACTAGGAAAGTCTGTGGCTCATGATTTGGGGAGGAGTGCCCAGAAACACCTAACAAAAGGTAGCAGGGTAAAAGAAGATGATCTTTCAAATGTAATTATTAAAATTTTGCTCAAGGTCACTTTCACAGCATCTTACTAGAGTACATGTGTTCTAAGTGAGCCATCTATTATTTTTATTTGTTTCTTTATTTTATTTATTTATTTTATGGTACTGGGGATTGAAGTCATGACCTCACGCTTGCCAGGCGGGTACTTGTGCCACTGAGCTAAATCCTGGCTATTTTCACTAAGGGAAATTCCCCCAGATTTTATTTGAGAAGTATTTAAATCTTCAAATACAAACCTGATGAAGAAAAGATTCAGTTACATGTGAGTTGAAAACAGAAATAGATCTGCTGATCCATACATTTGTCCTTTCCCTTGGGAACAAATAGAGGTACAACACACCCATCCCAGTGGGCTAGCTGCTCATTTGCTGGATTTATGTCAGATGGGGCATTATTAGTAATCCAACATACCTTAAGAGCAACTTGGGTCAAAACTGTCAATTAGATGGAGAAATTATGTACAAAATTAGGATTTCAGAGACCCAGATCTTTTGGCAAATAGCTAGATTCTTTTAAGATCAAAATATAGTACAATGACCCTCTGGGGTAAACCTGCCCATTAAATTTGCACTTCTTCAATGTTTTATTCTGTCCAGGGAGCAAATGAATTAAGGCTTTCTTTTGTAAAATATCTTTTCTTCTTATCTGGCCTAAATTTTGCAGACTGCAAATGGAATGTCCAGTTCTATGGACTGCTGGTGAAAATGTACATGTTTTTTGGCAAGTGCCGTCAACAGTTCATTTCAGAAACTTAAAAAAAAAAATGGCTATGGTTTATTGTTGCTGTGTGTCACACATATAAGTAAATAATTTAATGAATGTAAGTTGTTTTT